GATACAAATAAATGAAGCAATGACTTTTTATGTTTTATTAATAAAATTTTGGAATGTCCGCTTTCACGCCTGCCTTCATACATATGACTTTTGTTTTTGCAATTTTGTGTGTTTTTGCCGTTGTTTTTTTTTTGGGGTTGCTATTTTCGTTACGCTTTCTCGATCACTGCGGATTCCTTTTTTTTTATTTCAATTCATTTTAACTTATATTTTTTTTCGTTTCACAAATATATACTTATATTTACATAAGTATTTTTTTTCTTTTATACTTTTATTGTTTTGCTGTTCAGCACTTGCACACATCGCGTTCATATTTGCAATATATATTTATAGGTTTTTTTTTTTGTTTAACAATTATTTGTTGTTGTTTGCGTTGCTTTCATTTGTCAATGAAATGAATGAATTTGCACTTGTGCGACGGCAAAAACGGACATTTCGGTGGGCGGTGTGTATGGCAGGAAAACAAGCAAGCGAGCGAGGTAGCGAGCATTCGAGCAAGTTAACGCCGGATGCTTGTAGTTAGCCGACCGCGTGAGTCGGTGAGTGAATTTTTGAATTGTTGGCGTTGGTGGATGTACTACATACATACCTACATACATACTAGTATTGTACTACAATAAGAAGGAAGACGTGGGAGGCGGCTTAGACGAGTAGATGATACTTAGTATGTATGTATATACATATGTAGATGGATAAGGAGGGTTTGGATAGCAATTAAAAATGTTTTTGAAGGAATTTTGATGGATTTGTTTTGGAGAGAAAAAGAGAGGAGAAGAGAGGTAGAAAATGTTTTTGATTAAAATTTTTTAAATTTTGTTTTTTATATTTTTTTTAACATTATTTTATGCAGTTCTAACAAATTTGTATATTGATGCAATAAATTTGTTAGAGCTACAGAGGAGGGGAAAAAGAGATGACATTTGATGTGAGAAAATTTTGAAAAATTATTTTGTTCTGCAAATTTTTTGTATGCGTCTTATACAAACTTGATCATATTCGTCTTTTTTTTTTTAGAGATAAGAGGTGAAAGGAAAAACTGTTTGGAGAAATTTTAAAAACAAGAGTTGGCATAGCAATTGAAAAATGTTTCCTAAGGAATTTCCTCGGATTTGCTTTTGAGAGAGAGAGAAGGAGGAGAGTGATACAAATTTTTTATATGTAATTTTTTGTAATTTTGTTTGCGATATTACGCATTATAATACATTCATACATACATACATTTGTTAGAGAGGGAGGGGAAAAATGCATAAAATTTGTTTTGAGAAAATTTTTAAGAACTTTTTGGTTTTGAATAGATTTTTTATGTGTCTTGTACAAATTTGATCATGTTCTAAAACTTATAATTTTTTGGCGAGAAAATAAGAAACATTTGTTTGGAGAATTTGTTTGCTTTGAAATTTTTTTATACTTATAGATTTCGTATGAATTTTATCATATTCCAATACATTTGTTTTTGGGAGGGGGAAGTGGAAATAGATAAATTCTGCTTGGCATTTTTTTGTTTTGAATTTTTTTCATTTCATTTGTTTTTTTCGGAGGGAAAAAGTGGGGAAAAGATATATGTACATATGTATCTATTTTTCTAATAATTTTTGAAAAATTTTAAATTTTTTTTAATTCTTTATGCACCTTGTAAAAATTTGATCATATTCCAATAATTTTTCAAACTGCAGTAAGACGAAAACAACTATCTTGGTATGTACATATTATTACTCGGCTGCAGTTGTTGATTTTTTTGTTTTCTTTCGCTAACTTCCTCCAATGAATTTTGTGCTGATTGTATTTATTAGGCGCACAGGGTTTTTCGTTGATTGTTCATGAATGTGTTTTTATAAAATTCACTGACTTTGCACTGTTGTTTTTTGCTTGTTTTGTTTATTTAAGTTATAACAAATTGTTTATCGCTTATTACTTAATTGAGGCTGCGAGAGTAGCAAAATATTTTTTATTAAACAAACTTTGGAAAAAACTTGCGTAAATATGCGTCTATGTAAGTAGACGTTATTCAAATATTTATACGAATTCGACCGGAAAGTCGTTTGGCACACGCATTTGCATAAAAATTATAGTAATTTGTGTATAAAAATCACTCTTCACTCAAAAATTTCGTACAAAAAAATATGCGAAAGTATTTTTTTATTTTAATTTTCGTTGAACTAAAAGTTTTGTAATATTTTTTTTTTGCTGTTGCATTAATTCAAAACAAAAACCATTCAGCTCATCACTGCAATTTCTTTTTTTTTTATTACTTTTTCCAACCGCAAAGCGAAATAGGTATGTACTCGTTTCAAAAAAAAAAACACCGAAAAACGCGTATATTGTATCTGATTGCCTTGATTTTGATTCCTCTTATTTTGTTAGTGTCGCGTAAGACGCTCGAACATCCACACGCATATACGCACACACACACACAGCTTTCACGTTTCCGACGTTAATCAAACCGTCCGATTCGGCGAAAATATCTCAAGCAACTGATGTGCAAGCGGGCGATTCGTAACGAACGCCAACACACAAATGTATTTCACTCGGTGTTTTCTTATTTGAGTGGAGAAAATGGAGAGCGGATGTAAGAGGCGCACACAAGCACACAAAAAAGATGGCGAAAAAGTGCGCAAACGCACACAGATGCACACACACAACACGCACACACACACACACATATCCATAAATTTCCTTTTGTGTTGGTGCAATGGCCGCGCGGCGAATTCAAATTCAATTTAATTCAAGAACTCAAAACGACCCCTCTCTCGCCATGAGTTCGCGCTGGCAGTGAGTGTCAGCGGCAGCGCTCATGCTGAGCAACGGAAATTATTCATTCATTCATAGAACTGCAGACGTGTGTTTCCCTTTATTTCATTTATTGAAACATTTTTTTTTTTAATCTTGTTTTTAAATGCTGTTTCTCGCTGCTATAAATGTATTTGTATGTACATATGTATGTACGTATGTTGAAGCGAATTCAACAGCAAAGGCGACAAAAGCAAACGAGTTCAATTTAATTTATTTTCCGCTACCTACACTGTATTTGTTACTAACAAATATATATATGTATGTTCATATGTATGTATGCATGTATGCATCTATACACTTTTTTATAAGCTACAAAGTTTTCGTAAATACAGCATAGTTGTTGTGGAGGCTTAAAAATGGCATTTTTAATGTATTAAATGAAATATTTTTGCATATTTTTAATTGACACGGCTATTTTTTGACTGAACTTTAAGGGTGGTTGAGCTCATTCACTCATTAGGTTGGGTTGGCGGGTAGCTATCCCTGCATTTAGGCCTTCTAGAGATGGTCTGCCGAAGGTATGTGAGAAAATCCCACGTGTGGTTTCATTTTTCGACAAAAACGTCTTTTTGGTCGAAAATGGTGTTACGCCTATCTTAAAAAATGCATTATCTGCAGTTTTGTATAAAGAACAAGATTCCATCGCGAAACTGTATTTAAATGAAAATTTGAAAAAGATATATGTACATTAGGGTTATGATTTTTTTACACTTTTTTTAAATTTTGATTTGCCTGTGCTTGCATTTAATGTACTTTTGTCCAAATATTACTTTTTTGGCGATATTTTTGTTGGTTCGTGAAAATACCTCCCGCGCACTATCATTTCATTTACAAGGCTGTTGCATGGCAAAGCCCCATACCTGGTATAAAAATTCGACCGAAATTCCTTTTTGCCTACCAAGTTTTGATTTAACAATGTGTATCAGCACTAAATCCACGAATCTATATTACTTTAATAAAACCATAAAACATTTGCGAAGAAAAACATGTTTGAATATTAATTTTCTCCACTTAGAAACTGATAATAAATTCCGCTATGCGCGGGGTTTTTTTTTTAAATTATCAAAATTGTTATTTTTTGGAAATTTATACGAAAGTTCATCGTTTGCCACCACAGGCATTTATATCTAAAAAAATCATAACCCTAATGTACATACCTACTAAAAAACTAAAAACATTGTAAGTGGATAAAAGCGTCGTAATAACCACTCGTGCTCATATATCCGTAGTTGCGTATGTAACGTATACGCCCTGCAGCACCATACAAAATCATCTATTACGTTTACTTACTTAACTTAAAAGTCATATTATTTAAAAGTAATTAAATATTTGGTTTTGGAGAGTTTTACACAGTATTCCTTATGCACATACATATGTATATATTACTTTCTTCCGGTATATGCGAATTTTAGAGTGAATTTCGAGTGTGCTAATAAAAATTTTAAAAATGGTATTTTAGTCAAATCATAGTCATCTTTCATGCAATGTAATTTTCCTAAAATGGAATAATCTTGAATCAACCAAAATATAATAAATTAAAGCTTTAAATGCATTTTTATTACCTTTGTTTTACGTTTTGAAATCAAGTTCTAAGTAATTTTTTTTGATTTAGTTAGATAAGAATAATTCAACAGAGAAGCATGTCCCACCCGTGACAGCTATGTGTGGGACAGTTGTCAGAGGTAGGTTTACAGGGCTAATAAGCCTAATTTGTTTGTTGAAGTGGACGCAGGGGAGGAGGGGGAATGCGCGGACTCGTCCATTATCTATATACCCTTGTGGTCAGCTGATTAAGTTAAGTTACATTTTGACCAGTTTTGTTTTTTTATTTTGTTAATCTAATGTCTACTACATTACCTAACCAGAACCACATAAATCTACATTTCATACTTCTTACAAAAATTATAAAAATTCAACAAACTAACAATTACGCCCAAAAACTGTAAACTTCTTCTTCAGAATTTTTAAGTATGCAGTTTTGTAGTCCATTAAATTTAAGTAGTGAAAAGTGAAAATTTCAAGACGCTAAGAAATCGCGTTAATTTTTAATAGTTTTTTTGGCTGACGGTGCTAAGCATTTTCTTTAATATAAAAGGCACTATCCTAAGATAAAACGTGAGTGAATTGAACCCCTACTTGGCTTCTTATATTTTTTGATAACAAATATTAGTTAGTATATGGACTACACTAAAAGCTCCTTTTTCATATAAAAATTCGTACGTTTGTTTGTATTCGCGGTTCTTTGTTTTATTATAAGACATCAAGTTCACACAGAAAAGTGAAATAAATTCGCAGAGTTTCCGTAAAATATATCTGCTCCAAAAACCAGGTTCCCGTGACAGAAGAAATAAATCAAATTTTTTTCATATAAAAGTAAACTGGAGTTTTTTTTCGTATTTTCTAATAACTCATATAATAGTCAATTAGGTATAGCTGTATCAAAATGTAGAATTGTTGAGTACTTTATGCTTAAATTTAAACAAGGAAGAACATTTTGTCTGTACAACTGTCCAACCCGTAGCGGTGGAATCGCCTCCATGTAAAAACTTTTACTAAAGTGTGCGGCAGAAACGCATGTAGAGACAAATACCGAAAATTGTGTGTTAAACGAATACTTTTTCGGCTGTTTTTTCTGAAATTTATCTGATTGAATTTTTCATTCAATACGCTTTCCTTCTGCACTTCACAGATACTTTTTCATGGTCCAAAAAAAAAAAAAAAAAAATTAAATTTGTAAGCTAACACCATCTTTTTCGAACGTTTTCCGGATACGAAAATGAATAACTGTAGTCATTTTCTATTCGTTTCCGAATACGGAAAATTCCACTAGACTGCGATGTTGGCAAAATTTACGTTTATTTGCTGCATAATGAGTTCGCTAAGCTTTCGAATTATCACAAAATTAAAAAAAAATAATTTGGGTCGACCGCTCTAAATTTCTTAAAAATAAGACCATACAAATAATAATTAGCTCAAACGGTAAAAAGGCGTAAAAAGTCTTCATAAATTTTTCCAGATACATATATGTATGTATGAATATGAACATATGCATATGTTTGTCTTTACATATACATATATATACAGATACCTAGGTACACATGTACATATGTAGATATACATATGTATGTATAAAATGACGTTTTCAATGAATGCGAACACACCGGATATGTGTGATTACCCCTATACCAACCGAATGAGTTAATAAATGCAGATTGCCATAATGGCCCCCAAATCGTTCTAAACCATACATGCAAGTACTATGTGTATGAGCAACGAGGGGCCATTACCGTGCTTCATATGTACATAAGAAAATACGGCAAAGCAACCGCAGTTACCGTACGAGTTTGGAAAAAATATACATAGTAGAAAAAAATATTCATTGTATATTTAGGGTAGCTTCCATTTCCGGTAAGACAAATGCGTAAACATAGGCATGCACATACATATGACATATGTATATAAGAATACTATATATGACTATAATTGAATATTATGTGTATGATATAAAATATTTTATACCCCTATGAGCTCATAAAAAATTTAAATCAATTTAAAATATTTTATGATTAACGATTTTTACAAAACTCGTCTTCTAAGTACATATGAGTTTACTAGTTTTTGCTCTCAACTCCCCGAAAAAAGAAATAAATTGTATAAAAAAAAAATGTATTTAAAAAAAGTTTTCAGAAAAAGTTTTCGAATTTCAACTAAATAAGCCATTTCAGTACAAAAACTAAACTTAGATTTCGTAGCTAGTCTTTAAATCATTAAAAAACTTTTAATGACATTTATAGGGCTTTTTAAGCTTTTTAAGAAATGTGTCTGAATAAAAGCATACGCCAACACCTTTTGTTTCATATCAATATCCCATTCTCATATTTCTTTTAGCTTAAACAAAATAAATTTATTGAAATTTGTGTAAATGTCCAACTAAATTGAATTTGATTTTAAACAGCCCTCTTGAAAATATTTTTGAATTAAAACCTTTTTCTACCTGTTGCGTTTGTCTTCCATATTGATTATATTAAAATAGACTTTTAAACAGTTGGCAACCCCTTTTAAAAATATTTCTGGAATATAGCCTTTATTAAACGTGTTTTGATATAATTTTATGAACTGTTAACAAAAAAGTGGGGTTTTTAAACAGGTTACGAAACTTTTCAAAACATTTTCTAAATAAAGCTTTCTTGAACCTCATTCGTCGGTCGCCCATATTGTGAAAGTTCCTTTAAATTATTAATAAAATTCAGTTTCCTGTTTCCTGTCATCCTGTTTTCAAATCTAGTTCGTTTGGCATCTATATTGTAAAATAAGTTGAACTTATAAATTAAAATAGAATTTAACTTTGTAAGCAGGTGGCAGCCCCGTTAAAAAAAATTACTAATGCTAATCCAGACCAATTTTTTTCAGAAGAAAAGAGCAACAAACATACTCAAAAACTTTCGAATTTATAATATTAGTAGAATTTCATTTAGCTGGTCAATTAAAGTGATTTTAAATTCTTGAACTGGTGGCAATGCTCGCCAAAAATATTTTCGAAATACATATAAGTATTTAGCTGTCTTTAAATCTCCATCCTTTTATACCCATATTCAAATACTTTATATAACTTCTTATTTAAATTGAGTTTAACTTTTAGAACAGGTGGTAACCCTCTTCAAAAATATTTTCGGAACACGGCTTTGTTACACC